TTAATGTCCTTCCTCAGTGTTCCACATAATTAATTAATTGACAGTCATTGGCCACAGAAGTGCCGTACAGACCGAAATTGAAAGGTCACAAGTCAAAGTAGGAAGTGGGTATAACTCAAGAAACGGCTCTTCATATCAGCTTTATGGTGGCTGTTGGAATAGAAACTTCAGGTGAGTTTATGTAGTATTCCAGTAGTGGCGGTCATTTTAATTTATTGCATTCCTCCATAGAGAGTGCTAGTGTTCTCTCTGATATATATACGACGTTTGTTTACCCTCCCCCACATAGTGTGTATGTTATTTTATAGAAAATTTACTTTTTTATATTAAAGAATGTGGCGCCGTCTATGAATGTCGTTAACATTAATTTACGTCAAAGACAACAAATGCTAAATAACGACAATAATGGGAGTGGACGGATTTTGAGCCTACCAATAACATGCCCCTTGTTCCAAACTACCACCCAACAAAGTTTGGTTGAGATTGACCCAGCGACCTAGTAGTTAGATAACGGATAAACAGACATACATATTGTTGTGCTTTATATATATATATATATCTACTGATAATATATAAAAAAATGGCGAAAGTTGGGAGTTTTACATTGTAAAATTTTAAGACGGTTTAATTATACTTTAAGGTTATATCCTTCCTACAACTGGCTGCAGACAGCGAAAAGCAGTTGAAGTTGAGACGTTGTGGGTTCAAGCATTCAACTCCCAACAACTGATTCTCCTTAGTTGCTGGATAGTTTGATATCGGCGTTTAGATCTTCCCTGACAGATGGAATATCCCCAACATGTTATAAACGTGGCAATTAAAATCAGCATATTATTTACCTTTTCGTAATTAACTTGTGATTATGTCTTCTTTGTTGTGTGTATTTATACAAAACAAAAACAACATTAAATATTTTATCCAAATGTTTATTGGTATTTTATAGGAAATGCCAAAGTGAACTTCATACAATAAAAAAATGTTGTCCAATCGCAAAAAAAAATCCATAGACACTGCATCTGGCAACTTGACTGTTTTGTTTTTTTGTATATCTTGTAATCGTGAATACTCATTTAATTTTCCGTCTTAGAAAGTTTAAATCGAAAAAGGCTGTTATTTACCCTTCCGAAATCGATCAGTTTTCGGTGGCATCACGCTAATTACGTCATACCGGAAATTTTCAAAATGTACTTCTGATACAAGCCGTTCCTCCGCGACTATATAAAGTGTAGTTGTCTCATTACTTCCATATTCCAAATCATTTTGATATAAAGTACTCAACCCTGTGTAATTACTTGTTTGTTTGTAGTTAAGCACAAAGCTTCACAATGGGCTATCTGTGCTCTGCCCACCACGGGTATCGAAATCCGGTTTCTGGCTTTGCCACTGGAGGGCATGTAATTACTTAGAATTAGTGAAAGCGCGATCCACAAGAACTTTCGCTAGTTTAAAATTCTGCAGGGAGAATAAAACAAAAAATAATCGCGTATCCCTAAAAAAGTTGGATTGCGATGTACATCAATTTTAAAGTAGTACTTACCCTTAAAGAGCGTCACAATATTTCAAAAATCACATTTTTACATTTAGTCTAAATCTAAAGTTGATCTCTTTTCTACATAAATAACTCATTTTTGTCTTAAAAGCTTTACTAAGTAATCTGTAGTAAGTGATTAAAAATAAACTCTACTTTGTTTCCATTTCGTTTCCGCTTCACCACTAAAGCCAATATCAGCATGGAATTTAGCACACTTGTTGATATTACACTCTTCCATAGCTTGAATATTTTGAAATTCAAAACTCTTCACTAATTGTCTTGTTATGAGTCTAATTACCACTAATGAAGGCACTAATTACAATTAATTGCCCATAGCTCGATAAAGTTGCAGAAAATGTACAAAGTTTTTAATTCAAGCTATGAGGATGTTCACCAAGAGCATGTATATTACTTTTCACGGTTTTATCATTCCTAAGTTATGGTGTTAAAACACTTTATGTTATGTATTTCTTTATCCCTGCCACATTAATTATACATATGGAATATATGACTGTAAGTGTACTTTCAGACATTGTAACATCATACTTTTGTTTTATGCTCAACTTAAAGGTTATAAGAAGTGTTTAACAGTTTCCACAGCATGTAAATTTGTCCAGTTTTATGTCCTGGTGGTTAGGGCACTCTACTTGTAATCTGAGGGTCGCGGGGGCGTTATAATATTACGTTCAATTCCACTATTCGTTGATAAAAGAGTAGCCCACGAGTTGCCAGTGGGAGGTGATGATTAGCTGCCTTCCCTCCAGTCTTTCACTGCTAAATTAGGGACGGCTAGCGCAGATATCCTTCGTGTAGCTTTACGCGAAATTCATAACAAACTATTTTTTTAAGGGGGAAGTGCTACCTTAAATCTACTTTTCTGATTATGTGCCTTCAAAAACATTAACTAAATTTATGACGGTATTCAACTGTAAACTTCATATTTGTATTTTCTAACAATGCAAGAATTCATTAACTTGATTTTTTTGTGGTTTACAAATTCATATATTTTTACGATCACTGTTTACAAAAAAATGTTGTCTTAACAAGTCATTGAAAATGTAATTTTTTTACTGCAAATGACATGAATAATAAATAATCTATCTTTAGATGTTAGTGGTAGAAACTATGGGAGTATTTGCAGCAATAGAAACCAGAAATAAAATATGCATAACTAATTTAAAAGAACAATTTCAAAATTAGCCAATGACTTCAATTACCTACAATTAGAAGTGAATCCCTATCTGCTGTTTCATGTTCAGAGATATGCTCCACTCTGATCTGTCAAAAAAGTTCCTTCAACACTCAGCTGTTGAGAAAATTGCCCCAACATCGGTCTGTCGAAAGAGTCTCTTCAGAATTGATTTGTTGAGAGAATTGCCCCAATATCGGTCTGTTGAAAGAGTCTCTTCAGAATTGATTTGTTGAGAGAATTGCCCCCAACGTCGGTCCTTTGAAAGTTCTTTCAACACACACAACAAGCGAAGCACGAAATTTAGTAGAATAAGTCATCACTTACAAGAGTAGGAAAATCTACTATGGTAATCGTCTACTGTCAGAAAACTTACTAAAATAGTTTCAGAAAACCATGTAGAGACAAAGTACAACAGCGATCTCGAGAAATAATGAATACTCAACATGGCAGTATCCAATACACTATAAGTTGCACAAATTATATTTCAATTAATGCGCATTAGTAAAACACCATATTTTTTAATGGCGGAAAGTGAAGGACTTGGAGAAATTATTCAGGACGAAAAAACGTAGGCGCTTTAATTAATTTCAAAACTACCCTATGACATAATCAGTACTCTTTCACTAATATCGTCCAGGTTTCAGTAAAATATTCGTAGCCGTTTTTTCTGTAGCAGTTGTAAAACCATAATCAATAATAATAATAAAGCTGGAGAAACTGTTATAAATATACACATTGTTTACTCTAATAAAACGAAGCATTTTCGACTGGTACAACGGTGCTTTGAAAAGCTTACGTTGGTTTAAAAGAAGAGCTTAAAAACTTTTTAGAGGGTGAAAAATCTCACTTTCAAGAATCAATTTAAAAATAGCCATACAACATTCGCAGGAGTTTTTTTAGTGGATGTGCACACATTTTGGTGCAGTATACTTAGCTGATTTATCTGTAAAATTCAGTGTTTGAATGGCTTCGAAGATAAACTTGGCCAGTAGTGATGAAAAAACTGGTAAAATCTCTACTTTTCTTTCAAAAATCAGTATCAAAAACAATCCTCTGACATGAGCAGGAGTTTTATTAGTAGATTTACCCAGGTTTGAATAAAATATTAATAGCCGTTATTCTCGGTAAGCTTGTTAAACAAGCAAAATATGAATAATAATAATATGAAGAACAAATGGATGAATTTTGTCTAAAAAATCGGAAAATCAAATTTTTTGCTATCATTAAAATTTTATCAACCTTAGCCAATCACATAGAAGATCTTGAGTGTTGTTTCAAGACAAAGTCTGCTTTTTAAAATCGTTTTTGCCCATATGTTCTATTATAATGTTTGTATAACTCCTGGGCAAACCCTGTTATGAACCACTATTGTGGTTCATGATAAGTTATTTCTTATTTTAATTAGTACAGAAATATTTTGGAGGCCATGTATGACACAAAAAATTAATTTCTACAATGTAATTCATAGTTACAAACAGGCAGGGCATTTTCAATGTTTGTAAGAAGCAGAGACTTACTATGAGATCATATCTCAAATGAAGTAAACAAAATCAGCACCTTCAGAAAAATAAATGTAACCGAAGTCAGTGCAAGAGTAAGAATTAATTAATACATTTCTTACTTCCTAGTGTTAGACTAAAAGCTGTACATTAAAATAAATATAGTATTACATTTCACTTTAGAAAACACTTTATGGTCAGTTTTCAGTTCTTATAGTCTACTTTAGAAGCAGCTTGTAAAATCACTGAATGCATTTGCTACTTCTTCTTCAGTAACAGTATGTAAAATTATTTGTATCAATGAATTAATTTACTGCACCTCTTTCTGGAGCAGCATGTAAAATCTTCTGTATCATTGAATGCATTTACTGCTCGGAGGAATGCTAACAGCATATATATATATATAAAGGTTTTGACAAAAATATTTTTGTTTCAATATGCACTCAGTAATCCAATTACAATTTTAATAAATGAAGGTATTAAAACCAAATAATTTTTCAGTCCAACATGTTTCAGATGTTTGCAGGTCTTCAATTGGTGGTTTTGAAATGATAAGAGTTAATATAAACTTAATGTCAGATACTACAGTACAATGGATACAGTAAAATTATTATAATTTACAGACTTCATGTTCAAATAAAAGTGGAAATGGAACTAGCTAAAAAATAAAACAACATTCTATGATATTTTAAAATCATGAACAAAAATTTACTATCACTATCAAAAATAATGACACAACTGTTATAGTAACTACACTTTTGAATAAATAAAGTTTTGATTCTAGTTTAAGTTGCACTTGGCCATTTTTATTCTCAAATACTAAGTCTCAAAATAATTCAATACAGAGCAACAATGTTAAGAAATGTCAAAATTTTTTTACATTATTTTCACCGATATATATATATTTTTATAATCAGATTTTTTATAATTGTCTATCAGAAACAAGTTGCTAATTCATATCCTACTACATCACACTGCTGTTCAGGATTTAGGATAAACAAGGCTGTGTCTTTTGTTTTTGATACAAATTAAATATTTTGGGTAATATTTTTCAGTGTTAATTTAAATATTAGTAATACTTTTTCACAGTCATCAATACCTATTTTATATTTTTAATTGGAAAAAAAAAATCTAAACTTTTGACAGAATTTCTCAACAAAAGACTGATTAAAGGAAAATATTACTAAAAAGGCCTTGAACATAATATAAATTTGCACAAAATCTTTTGATATTTCCTGTCAAACAAGTTTTTAACACGTTTAGGTTCTTACCTATTCATTTAACATTTAATGAAATACAATATCTGAACAATAAGATTTCTATATTTGGTAAACTTGACAACTATTTGGAGTAGCCTTTTTTTTTATCTCTTCAGTTATTCATCTACCAGAATGGACACCTATAAATCAAAAATACAATTGTGTTATAACCAAGGCCTTGTTGTATTTACTTTAAGGACAAACATTTTGTTACAGCAATATATAAGTATAAATGCAATTTTCTTTTTAAGTTTCAAAGTTCTATTAGATTAGATTGATCCTAAAATGACACACACACACACATTAAAACATGTCTAATACTATAAATTAGATCAAATATATATAGGTTATAAATTCTGCATTTAATATATAACAATGGGGAAAAAATATAAAAAACAAAACCAAATGCCAAGAGTGAAACTCAAAACCAGAGCTGTCACTCGCAACGAAATTCAAAATTATGATGTGCATAAAAATAAATCCATTACCATGGTAGTAACACACACAAAACAAAATAATGAAAAACTATACCATTTGTGAAGAAGGTAAAAAATGTATAATCTTTCAAAGTAAAATGTCTAAGGTAACAGCTCCCAAAAGCATTGGGGTATCTATCAGAAATAATCCAAAAACATTCAGATGGACAGTGAGAGAAATAGCAAGGAAGATCAAATAGGGATTATGTACAAGGCTTCCAAAATGTCACTTACAAGGAAATTTTGTAAACACATTTTTCAATATGATCTCAATAGCCCTTAGTTTCAGACCATGGCATGAAATACTCCAACTATACATTTTGTTGAATTTCAAAATATTGTACTAGCAGAATAATAACATGTCTGTCCATTCGTTGTTTATGAATATAAAGAAGATGAAAAAAGAAACATGCAAAAATAATTATGTGTATAGGTGTTAGGCCTACTAAGAGTGACTAATATGATTGGATGTTAATTTCTGTATTTGTTAACATTTAACAAAAACTTTTTCTACTGTAAAATTTTTATGTAATGTTGTAGCATCAAAATTATTTTTTTAAAAGCCAATTTTCATCAGAGTATTGTTTATGTTATTTTATGCTAACAAAAATGTTACATTTTCATATTTTAAAGAAAATGCACATGCAGTAAATATGCCTGATTTTGTTTTACTTTTATTCCAGTTTTTTCATAGAGATTTGATTTATAATTTTTCTAAAATTTTGTTTAGAAATTCAATGTTCGATTGAGTTCTAAGAATTCTGTTAAGAAACTAAAAACAAAGACGACTATTTCAAACTTTTGAAGAAGGGATGTTATAAAGTCGTTCTGCTGTTAATAAATGCATAAACAGGGACTACTAAAACATTTGATGGTGTGGTCAGTACTCATGATATTAACATTGACTGAGATGATTTTTAATTGTAAAAGAGCTTTTAGAAAGAGTATATCTTATGCCCAAATATTCATTTTTGTGCAGTTCTCGATTTTTGACACATTCTACTAGTAAAAAAAAATAATAATAAAAAGCTTCTTGACCTTGAAAAGTTAAAATAAAACATTCAGAACATTAGTTCAAACGTGCGTATTGTCAGACTATCCACTAGCAACGGCTTCTGTAATCAGTTGTGAGACAAACTTCATAGTGCAGAGGTACTAGTTAAAGCTTTGTTTCTGAAAGCTCACCATCTATAATGAAAGTGACTGCTGGTGTTAAACAGCACAAACACTGCAGTGACTCTCTTGTAAATGGTAGATATAAACTAGTGACTGCTGGTGTTAAACAGCACAAACACTGCAGTGACTCTCTTGTAAATGGTAGATATAAACTAGTGACTGCTGGTGTTAAACAGCACAAACACTGCAGTGACTCTTGTAAATGGTAGATATAAACTAGTGACTGCTGGTGTTAAACAGCACAAACACTGCAGTGACTCTCTTGTAAATGGTAGATATAAACTATAATCTAGCCTGTCATGTTGACCTCCACGGAAAAAAACAACCAGGTTTGGCAGCATTTTAAATGTCTTAAAAGCAATGAAATGGCAAAGTTTAAGAAATGTCCATCTGTTACAAAGTGCAAAAGGTTTTCTACCAGTAGTCTCATACGGCATTTGTGAAGTGCACACGGCTCTGAAATTTCTCTAGGGAATTTAAAAAAAAAGATGGCAAAATGTATAAATTAAAGGTGGCTTTTAGCAACAAAATGACTTCTACTATCATGTTACTTTTAATTATTTGATGGTTCTTCGGGTATAACTACCACAGCCACAATTAGTAGTGAGTGGTAGTGGGTGTTGGAATATTGAGGCTTAAATCACCTAATACCTGACCCATACTTGATTTTCCTTGCCAGCTGTCTCATTGTTCATTTGCAGTTTTTGGATTATGTTTGGTATGCAGGATATCTCCTCCAATACTTTTGGGAGCTATTCTTGCAGAAATTTTCCTCTAAAAATTATATCTTTTTTATTTTCTTGACAAATGGTATTTTTCTTGTATTGTGTGTGTTACTACGTGTAATAATGGACTTATTCAATTTAAATTTGTTCTAAGCTTCACTCTTTATGTGAGTGTGTGTGTGTGTAGTTTCATAAGTACATTTCTTCTATATTTTTAAATCATAACAAAAAACAGGGGATTTATCATGAGAAGAAATGGGACAGATGTCTCCCAGTGGAATATGCTAAACCCTGGCATACAGAATGGCATACTAAAATCAAAAACAGCAAACAACACAACTTCATTGCATACATGCATATGTACGTATACACACACACACATACATATATATATATATATATATATATATATATATAAATAAACTGTTATACCACTTTTGCTCATTCCAATGAAAACATATTCCCCCCAAAAACAACATTTCAAGTTGCTAAAAGTGTCTTGATAATTGACTTTAAAACTATACTAAAAGTAAAGCTTATTAATTCTGCACTGATTTAGATATCAAGCTTTATTTGAAAATTTATGTTAAATTTGGTGTAAATGGTATTTTTAAACTGAGCGTGTACTAATTTTTTAAAGGTACTTTTTACCTAAATATGTTCAATCTGTAATAATTCAAATACCTAAAAAATGCTGGATATTGAACAAATAAAACCTAACATTATTAAAATCAACATTCTTGTGAATTTTTACAATGCTTAGCAAATTAAACATTAGGATATCTATCATTATATTTATTTGTACTGGAACTGATTAATTACCTTTTACAGCCTACAGTTTTCAGAAATAAATGTTTACTTACCATCCTATGTAACACTGGCACAAATTCTCATGTGATGTGGCTTGTTTAATAAGCAAGTCCACTTGTTCTGGAACCTCTAAGGTTACTTCAGTTCCAAAGTCCCTGCCTAATTAAAAATGAAATAGTTCTATTTAGTTCATTAGTCATATATAAACATACTTTGGGAATATATAATTATGAATAGTCAAGTATAATTTTTCATTTTAAATAGGAAATTAACAAAATATTTTTATATCTGTTACAGTTTCAGATAAAAGTTATAAAAAAATTCTGAGTAGTTTAAAAATATACTTGTCAACTATATAGGATACTTTTTATTGAAAGCAAAAAGGTAGTCTCTCAAAACATAACAAGTATGCTGTAATGTGTGGTGGTTCTGTATAACAAAAAGGTAGTCTCTCAAAACATAACCCTAACCTATGCTGCAATGTACATTATGTATAAGAAAAAAGTTCTCTTCCAAAACATAATCCTTAGTTTATTGTCATTCAGAGTTGTGAGGGAAGTTTACAGTAATTTTATGAGATAATAGTACATTCATAAAGTTAAATAAAGCTAGACTAAGGTGTAAAAATATGTTAATACTTGAATTAAAGGAAGAGAAAATTCTGCAAATGAATGTAAGCAGATTAGACCTTAGACTTGTCAGTTCACACCCCAGATTACAAAAATATATAAAGAAGGGTGTCCCCATAAACAAACAGTCTGTAATTTACAAATTTGTATTTAGCACAGTATCTTCAGTAAGTGATAAAAAATTAATATAATATGAAAAATAGTTTTCAATTTTTAAAGGATTTAAATTCGATGAAGGCTGTTTTGTGAAGTCTGGTATTAAATATTCATATACTAGCTTACCCATATAACATATAATTTATATGTGGTGTAAGTTACTATTTGTTTCTGCTAATATAAATGGAAGAAAAAATAGAATATTTCTCTGCAATGAGAGAATCACAAAGTAGTTTTAATGGTTAAGTCTATTACCAATCTGATAGGATCAGCATAGGTAAAAATGTAAGTACCAAAATGGACAAATTATTCTTGTGTTTTCCTGATAAACTTAAATCAATGTACAGCACGAAGTATGTTGATGGTACTTTTTTATTTTTAAGTAAAAAAAATGTCATGTTTCTATATTCCAGCAATGTCTAAATAATGTTGTGCTACCCTATACATGTGGCTAGAGTTAAAATCAAATTAATGAAACTAAATGGACTTGTATATTCAAATTATATTTAAGATTTAACATCAAACCAAAAATTACAGCCAAACATTTGTCTAAATTTAAGGTAGGTGTGCTAAAAGACAAGTGCTTATTGGTTGGTTATGAATTTTATATGTGGGGTTTTACTGTTAGTTGTCCTCACTTGACAGCACTTACTGTCCAGGTTTGACAACACATCAAGCACTACAAATGATGTATTGACAGTTTGTTAATGTCAGTGTTAACATCAGTCATTTTGAGACTATAAGAAGGGCTCTTAAC